CGGGGTTTTTTTTCTGTTCCCCTGTTTAGACTTCAAAACAATACCAGATTTCAATGAAAGTTAGCCTCTGAACTCCCCATCTGGTGTCTTTAAGAGTACCGTCTCTGAGGGCAAACTGCTCAGATGGGATTCCTGCCCACACCCAGTTGTAAGTGTTTATAGAGGTTTCTGTCCTTCCCCACCCCAAAGACAGGCGTTCTAGTTAGCCACCTGAATTCTCAGCTCCTCCCCATTGGTACTGAACACCACTGCTTAGAAGACATTACAGCTGATTGTTGCTTTTTGTGTGTGTTGTGTTTTTTGTTCGTTTTGTTTTTCCCCCCTGCTGTTTTCAACTGTGCTTTTGTGTGGCAAGAGTTGTTTTTTTTGTCACAAACTCATTGCTGATATTGTTAGAAATGAAGGTTTAAAATTTGTTGCAAGGGATAGTTCCACTGAAGTCACCCCCCAGGAAACCAGATGAACTGTATTTATTGTCGAGGCTGTCTGTCACGTAAGCTCCGTGGGTTGGCATGGGGGCGGCTGGGCCCCTGAGCACGCCATGGGAGTCTCCCTCGCTCGCTCACCGTTGTGGCACGGGGTCGGAGCCCACCTCTCAGGTTGGCGTGCTCCTCTCTGCTTCTGAGAAGGGGTGCCCCCCCGCTCGCTCCAGGAGGGTCTGGCCGACTCTAGATGTCAATCCACCAGGGGGAAAACCCTCTGATGTTTTTCTTTTCATTTGCTTGTGTTCTGGACATCCTCTGTGATTTGTCTCACCGTGTAAATTAGGTGTGAACTGCACTTCTTTTTAAAAACCCCACATGTCCCTGCTATACCTCCTTGAAAGATTCATTTCTGTAGGCCTTTTTTAGTAGGCTCATGACTGCAGACAAAACACACAAAAAAAGTAAAAAACAGTACGTGCCTAAAAAAATAACAAAAAAAATTTTTTTGTAACATTAAAAAAAGAAACCTGAATAGCCTTTAAATTCTTTTAATATGCTTAAATTTCATGTAAATGGGTCTTCACCACGTGTGTTCACATTCTAAATGACTTAATGAATCCTCAGTCTGTGTCTTGTGTCCTGTGTGTCAGATGGACTTGTGACGTAAGCGTTTTCATCTGGTCAGTGGTTCCTTTGTTACTGTACTGCACCTGGGCATGGGCGTGGAACCTGCCTTTGGGGAATGAGGTTCCTCAGGGCAGGTTGAAGGGACTGGGGGGTGTGGGGTACAAGGCGGGGCAAATTCTCACACAGCGTTTTCTGAACCCTTGTGTGGAAACTTTCAAAAGGCATTTTGGTCAAACCTCTTGGCAGTACAGTATTCTCGTACTTGTTAACGTCTGTGTTTAGGTACTGGTACCTTTCTGTTTAAGCAATGTTCGATGTGTTGGCTTTAAAGTGAACTTTATCTTTAGTATGATAGTTATATGAAAATTATAGGGTTTGTGTGCAGAGGATTTTTTTATAAAGTGCTTTGTAAAAAAACAAAACAAAATGTATTCTAGCTTTCGCGGTACATATGTGTGATAACTTTAATATCCATGACAGTTAAGTGCAATTATTTCATCACTCTAAAAATGCTATTTTTGTGTCAGTTCCTGCAGGTGTTTTCATGTCTTTGCAAAGTGACACATTTTGATGCCTTCTTGATAAAGTGGTAGACATTTTGTAGCTTTCTTAGGAACTTTGTATTCATACGGTATCAATGAAAAATAAAGAAAATGAAAGTGTGGGTCACCTTTTTTTTTTTTCAGTCTTCAGAGTGTTCAGAATGAAATGTGCCTTACGGGTTGTGAAACCCGGCTCCTTTTGACCGTGTTTACCAAGCACAGTAACTAGAACTTTAGGTGTTAACATTTAGCAGGACTTCTTAAGACCACCTGCCAGCCAGTCGGTCAGTCTCTCTCCAGTGCTTCATTAAAACCCACGTAAGTGTTGTAGAACAGTGTGTATGTAGACCCCAAGTGTACCTTGAGGCGTCACATTCCACGTTGCACGGTCCCTTTAGGACCTTAGCAACCCAAAAAGCACACCAACCCAACTGTTGAGCATGTGTGGCAGCCCGCTGCTGAGCACGCACAGGGCTGGCGGCGGAGGGTGGGATCTGCCAGCCTGCCTGGTGCCTCCATTTCCAGTGGTATGATTGTGTGTTGAGCGTTTACTGAGGCCTCTGAAATCTGCATCACGGTGGGGTTCACGACAGTGTGCTGGTACCATGGTCATTGGGGGCTTCCAAAAGTTAGGGGGAATGGAGTTGAAAGATAATGGGATTTCTCCATGAAACGTTTTGAAGCCGCTCCAGCTATACAGTGCTGCCTTTAATTAGTGATTGAGTAGTCTCAGTGGCAGTGACATTATGATCCCTACAAAATGGGGGTCGGAAAGTTAAGAATGCACAGCACCCAGCCATTTCTGACCTGCAGCAACCCTGTATTCCAGGCCCCGAGGACTGCCCTTGTGTATTTCTGAGACAAGTCTTTATGGGAGTGGAAAGCCCCATCTTTCTCCCAACGAGAGACTGGTAGGTTTGAACTACTGACTTTGCAGCTACCAGCCCAGCACGTGACCACTGCACCGCCTGGGCTCCTCAGAAAAGTAGTCCTAAATTATGACGGGTGGAGAACCTTACATCTGGTCACTCTGACCCAAGAACTCTAAACCAATGCTTGGCTCACTGGGAAGCCATCAAAGCCCCTCAAGACTAGAGCACGAATGGATTTTGGGAGAATGGGGGTGGGATGCCTGTTGTGACCTTGGGTTTCTAATAAAGGGACAGAAGTCCTTTTATCATGCGGCTTCCCTTTGGGAACTAGACTGCGAAGAATCACCATCTCACGGTGTCTTTGAAATCTGAGATAACGTCTCCCTGAATTCCCAAGAAGTGTGAGCAGGAAGGACATAGACATTCTGTTGGAACGAAGCCTGTTTGCAGCAGGTTAGCGTTGGAGAGGGATTCTCTTGTGCAGTGAGGTGCTCAGGGCATTGTGGTTCGGTTGAACAGGGAGGGGCTGGGGAGCAAGCACTTCCTGGTGTGCCTGTTAGATGCCCGGCACCTCTGGAGTCTATTTCCCTAACCCACTGAACGCTGGTAAGAGGAAACCTCAGTTTTCCAGTAAGGAAATTAAGGCACAAAGCTCAGGGCCCCGTGAGGCTGTAAAAGCAAGCACAGGCACGAATTCAAAGGTAGACAGGCTCCTGCTACTTGCTGTAAGGCATTTGGGAGGCCAGCCTCACCCTTGACTTTCTCTAAAACCAGGCTTTGTAATATTTTGCCTCTCCAATGTTTGGGGTTCCGATCCATTTGAGTTCAGCAGAGGGAGGGACAAACCCACTGCACTGAGTGAAGGGAGAAAAGCAGAGGGCCCACCGAGACCCGCAGGAACATCAGGAGAACAAGCTGCCTGACTGAAGCTTGCCTGCTACTAATGAAGAGCCTTGTGGTGGGTAAATACCAGTTGCTGCTGCTGTTTGGTTGTCCAGGAGTCCATGTCAGCGAGCAGCTACAGCTGCAGCCAAAGAGGCGGTGTAAATAAGCCAGGGCACCTTGGCTTTGGGGCACCTTTAAGTTGCTTGCAAAAATTGCCTCCTTAGACATCCTTGTTCTATTGAATGCTTCCCAAAATAGGTTCAGATCATCCCCAGCCAGGAGCTGGGCAGGAAGAAGACCTGGTGATATGCTCCTGTCAGGATTACAGCCTAGAAAACGGGGTTGTCTGGGACAGTTCTACCCCATCCTGTGTGGTCATTCCATGGGCTCTCATGCCAGTTTATCCAGCTAGTCATAGCAAATAAGTTCCCGGCGTTCTGGCAGCATCTGTTAGTAGCCATTGTTCCATTTACTTTGGTTTCCCAAAAGCTTGAAATCTGCTCTCTTTTTATGAGATCCAACTTAAAAAGGGGGGGGGGGCATAGATCAAAAATTAAAGATTAGTTATATACCAGCAAAACAAGGGTTGTTGTGTTGTTGTTTTTTAGCTATTTTAATATCTAATATGGTGAGGAAGACTGGGCTTTCTGCTCCAATAAGCAGTTACAGACGGAGGGAGGAGGGGGCGGGCGGGGGGGTCGCTATGAGCATTGACTCGATGGCGGTGAGTGTGGGGTCTAGTTTGAGTATCGAACATAGGCTTCGAGGCAGTGATCCCTGGCATTTAAGAGGATGACTTCAAAGTGATGCAAATGCCCATTGACCAGGAAGAAGAAAGATTTCTACACTGGTATGCACCTCATACTACTGCTTCAAACATGATGAAGCAGACAGATGTGTGACTAGTGGGAGCTTCTCAAACAGCTAACCCTAATCATCGGTTCTTTATAGAGAGCTGATGAGAATATGGGAAGTAGATTTGAGCACCATCATTTACTGTTCTGATTTATAAACTAACATCCTCTGCAATTGGATACCACACATCCTTTTCAAGTACACATGGAACTGATAAGAGGTGACCATGTCCAAGCCAGAGTTTGGGAAAGTAGTCCTGTGTGCTGCATGCCAGCTTTGGTAAATAAAACGCTGGGGCCCAGCCATGCCTGTAAGACTGCTTTCACACTTCAGCGGCAGAGTTGGCGGGTTGTGACAGAGCACCTATAGCTCATAAACCTGGAAATCATCATCTGGCCCTTTGTATAAAAGTCAGGTCTTGGCAGCCTCTGTTGCTAAGCCAGAAAGCATGATTCTGTGCCTCACAGCTCTGGAAAGTTCCTCGTGGTTCCCTTTCCCCAGGATTAGATACTGAGTAGCTGTAGATAGAGCCCTTTTGGGCCAGCTGGTGGCATTGTAGGGTCTTTGCTTGACGATCCCAGCCTCCCCTTTGATCAAAAGTCTGGGCCTGAAAACCAACTGAGATCTAGAAAGGATGGAAGGATGACGCCGATCTGAGAGGAGGATGGGTTTTTGTTGCAACAACTGG